AAAGGGTACACATACCTGTACTGTACTGTATGTAAGCACATGTTTAAATACGGAGAAAAAGGGTTGTGTTTTGGGTTAATGTAGCTCTAAAAATAGTCACTGCAATCAACGCATTTCATTGGAGAAAGAGTGTGTGTGTGAGGATTTCAAAGTGTTGTGAGTGTGTGTAGGGCTGATGTGCCTTTTTTTCTTTTTGTGTGTGTGTGTTAGAGCCTGGTGGTTATATAAAGGCCAACAAAAGCAAACAGAGTCCTTTCAATGGACAAGAGGAGAGCCAACAGCTCCATGCGTTCGCAGCTCTCAACCTCAACAGTATGACAGAAAAATATACAACAAATGATGAACGCAAAAAGCAGTATGTGTGCTGAAAACCATAATGGAAGTAGTTTGCATGAAAGCAGGTTTCCTGTGCGGACGATAAAACTATTTATTAATTTTTATTACATCTGCTTCACTGCATTAATAAACACTAACTGCTTTAAAAATTTACTTTTTTTAACATGAAGTGTTCTAAAAAAAGGACAAAAAAAACTCACAAAACTGACCCGTTCTGGTGGTCTGATCTGGTTAGGTAAATAAAAAAAACAAACTCACAACCTTGATGACATTTACTGTGTACCTACAACATTACTAAACAGAAACTTTTCTCRTTTTATCCGACACTACAATAAATCTGTGTAAGTTTCTGACTGGTCAAGCTGATGAAGGCTCGCGTGACTATGTCAGCAGGAGACGTATAATATGAGTTCAGATAACTGTTTGAAGGCGAAGCAGTTCTGTGCATGAGGGCAGCGGCTAAATCACTTAAGCTTGAGGGTGAAGAGTGATGTAAAACATTTGACATGAGATGGACCGAGCGCTTTGAACCAGCAGCCAAGAGCATCAGACCCTGAGATGAGCAGWGAGCCTGGGTCGAGGGAAAAGAAGCAAAAAAAGCACTTTCTTGTGATTGGTGCAGTGATCAAAGACTCTTTCTAATCAACATATCAATAACTAAATTAATGTTCACTTAAATGTATTTTAAAATGTTGTGTTTCAGATTCTTGTGACAACATATAAGAGTTGTTTACTAGTTTGAAAAGACTAACTGTTTAAAGGTGATTACCCAAAGCACACATGTTTATTCAAACAATTGTTTTGTCTACAAAGCCAGACTGTCTTTATTCCACCACTTAGAACGGGATAAAAGAAAGTAATCCAGACAAGTAAAGCCGAGACAAGTTGAGGCAAATGTGAGTGTCTGAGCATAAAGATTTATTCTGTAGTGTAATGAGCATTTTGGTTCTGGCAAGTTTCCGGATTGTGTGTCTTGATGAATCCAGCAAGAATGTAAACCTGCGTCTCTCCTCACCATACAACAGAACAGCTGCTCGCACAGACACACACGCACAACGACGCACACATACACACTTTACCAAACAGGCAGCCGTTTGCTGTTTTAGGATCAAATTAGAGTTGCTGGAATTTCACACRTGATGTTAGATAGGAGTCAGTTCACCTGCTTCGGTCTGCTGTATTGACAGATGAAAGACTGACTTAGCAAGATTAGATCTCGCCTCGCATTTGTGAGGAAAGGCTAAAGGCAGCTCACAAAACATACAGTAATCCGGACGCTGATTGAAGTTGCTAGACACAATGTACGGCCCTAACTCCATATCCACCCACAGACTTTCTCCCTGAYGAATAAACCTGACAATGCTACAGTTCCGATAAGGACAAAATCTCTGACATATGCTTGCAGGAATATGCACTGGATAATGCATTCAGTCATCTGCACAAAGTGCACTCACACATACAAAGATGCGTGCCATGCCAGTGCCTTAGCCAACAAAATCTATACATTATTTTAAAAGAGCCACAAATAAAAATACATATGCCTTCATCAGCATTTCTGGCCGTACACCATCACTAATACTAGAGTGAATTGAAAAGGCCTTGAACACGGTTGGCATAWAAACAAAGGCAACTGTTCTCACATGCCCACAGACAAGAATAAACTCATCCTCATAGAACAAATACTTTAAACTTTACATCGTTTAATAAAAAGAAAAAAAACATAACATTTTAATCAAATTGCATCGTTAGCCAATAAAAATGTTGACTAGTAGGGTAAAGTAGTTTTAGGGGTCCTAASCAGAGGTGTCAAGTAACTAAGTACAAATACTTTGTTACTTTACTTAAGTAGAAATTTTGGCTATTTATACTTTAGTGAAGTAATTATTTTTTCAGCCCACTTTTTACTTCCACTCCTTACATTTTAATTCAGTTATCTGCACTTTCTACTCCTTATGTTTAAAAATGCAAAAAAGTATTTCGTTTCTATTTAACTTTGACTTGTTTTTATTCCATCATTTTATTGTTCAGAAAAAAAATAAGTAGAAATCGATCCAGTTACATGGAGCCATGGATAGAGTGAATTTGATTGTGKTTGGATGAGAAGTGTAAATATTCTGACCCCCTATTGAATTGAATGCACTCCATCACACCTGAATGACACAAAACACATCATATTCCAGTATGTGTAGCAGATGTAGCCTAGAATGAAGATGATCATGGCTGAAACAAGTAGTCCAGTCAGTTAATTTAACACTATACTCATTGTTGACTTAAATATGGGAGGGGGTGTGCTTTTTAAAGTGTTCATTACTTTTACTTTTATACTTTAGGTAGTTTTAAAACCAGTACTTTTATCATTTTACTTGAGTAAAAAGCTTGAGTTGCTACTTCTACATCCAAAAAAAGTATTTTTAAACAATAGTATMTATACTTCTACTTAAGTAATGAATTCAAATAYGTTTGACACCTCTGGTCCTAACTGTTCACTTGAAGGTTTGTGACATGTAAATACTTGAGAAACCATCACCTAAACATCTGYTTCCATCACTTTAAGCTGTCTGTAGCCTTGTAAATATGTTTTCAACTTCTTATGCCGTCGGTGAGTATGGTGACCTAACCCCATTCGGCCATCTATCTGTTAACACAGAGGGCCTGGAGAGCAAGCGGCAYGATGGGGCCCCTGAAGGCTGCGCACGGGGGCTATGGAGGCCTGTTGGTGCAGCTGTCCCACTCCATGGAAACATAAGACCTTATTAGAGTCCATTAGGCTGCTCTGAAACTAATAAGAGATTGCCAAATACATCCAAACATTCACACAATTTGCAGAGAGGCAGGAAGTGACTGGAAGGTGAGAGGTATGTGAGTGTGTGGAGGTGGGGTGGTGTTGATTAAGGGGATCTGTTGCATTTGCATTTTATTTATTTTTTTTTTTACATAGCACCATTTTATCACAACGCTGGGGAATCTAATTTGACAGCTATCACTTTAATTATCAAGGATTTTCAGGTTTTTGTTTTGTTTTTCATTAATATCATTGAAAAAAGTTAAAGGTAATTTCATTTTTTTATTTGTTTATTTTTATGTTTTTTCATGATCACATATTTTTGATCTGACAAATTCAACTGAATTTGACCTCRCATTGGAGCAGTGAGCTAGTCTTGTCTGGAGTCCAGAATTCCAGAAAAAGTCTCCCCTGGCCCCAACAGCAGGGGCTTGACCTGTTAGACTGCCTTTGATCTTTAATTAACTCTGAGCATGCCTCTGGAGAGGAGAGAGTTGATGAACAAGGGACCATTTGGGACAAGCTACAATAACCGGGAACACTAAATGGCAAATTCTCTGTTCTAAACCTTGACACCGTTTTAACTTTAAAGCCACTGTGGGAAATCAGCAGAGCAAAAGGTGGGGCTGTCAAATGGATCTTGAGTCTGGCTTTTTCAGCTGAGGGAGGCTAACTGAAACCGAGACCTGAGGAACTCACATGGAGTTCCTGTGGACTACAGCCACCTTCCACAACAAAGAGAATGTGAGGCCCCTCAGCACTTACATACTGGAATATTATTTTTTTTTTTTTCTGTTTTCCTTTATTGTGTTCCTTTGTTGTTCGGCCTTTTTGCTTAGTCAGATAACAAAATACAAACAAGCAAAACATAAATTACACAAATAGCTGCCACGATAATCTGCAATGTTTTCTTAATTTTGTATCAAGAAACATTGATAATGGTCCATTAAGASCCTATTAGTTTAATAGCTAAATCAACTTTTGTTTAATATTTGCATATTCACACAATTWAGGGCTTTTTAAAAGCACATCTGTGGTTCGTTAAAATTAGTACAATCACCACCATATTTTATAAAAATATGTATCACACTAAGTGTAAAATCAATATTGCCCGTCTATCATTTTATAAGTTTTGCAGATTCAAAAATAAAATTAAAAAAAACAAAGCTGAAAAATAATTTAATGTATACAGATTGTGGTATTTTTGTTTTGTCCTAAAATCAAGTAGAAACAACAGAAATCAATCCCCTCCAAACCATGTGTGCAGGTCGTGCAGCGGGTGGGACTGTTGATGATCAGACAGTGAAAGCAGCCATCTCAAATAACTACCCACTCATGCTTCCACCAGCACCCACAATCATCACCACAAGTATTTCATTATTCACGACCTACTACTGCCTGCTCTTTTATCAGACCCATCGATGCAGTTCTGGCTAAGATCTTCCCAAAGCTGATGAAGTGTCACTGATTACTACTGGATTACTGTGTGCTGCACGCTATAGACGCAGGAGCTGGAAGACACATCATTCACGTATGTGGATCTGCGTCAGTACAACTGGACAACCTATCCAAAGACACCCTGAGATTGTTGGATTTGTTTGAAGTTCTCACGTAAAGAATGCACGCAAACACACACATATTAGGCACACTGAGATTAGGTGTTTGACATTAAAGTTTTTGAGTTGACAGATATTAGGTGCGAGAACCTTCACATCCAACGATGCACTTCTGCAACCTCGGAGAATGTTTAGTTTGGCTACAGACGCCAGAAGAGTATAGATACAAACGTGATGTACAATGAATGTAGACAACGTGCAGCATTAACAGATGACAAACCAAACCTGGGGACACATTTTATAAAAATGAAACAAACAGGTCTTACTTTGGCAGGTACTGCTCCTCTCTTCGTATCCTGGGTTGCATAGACACTTCCCAATCGGTACGAGCCATTCTCCATCGGTGCTACAGAACATACGCGGCGGTTCCTCCTCTTTAGAATGATTGACACATGAACCTTTGACCTCCACTAGGGACTGGGAGTCCATGGGAACTGTATCAGGGAAGGAGGCCAGATTTTTCACAGTATACGGGCACTTTTTGAAATAAACCCTAACTGAAACTAAAGCAACACAAGCGCCAACGTCCTGGAATGCCAGGTAGAAGCCCTTTTTGGTCAAGGGTCCCACCTCGCGCACCTCGGTATTGAGCTTGAGGATGCGATCTCCGAGGTCTGTTTGGGTAAAACTCTCATCAGCAGCAATAGTGTCAATCTTGAGGAACTGATGCTCTCTGAAATGGCTTCCTTGGTCATCATCACCCTCCAGGTAAAGGAGGTTGAATGTCTCTTTACAGGTGCCCAGGACCAGTGGGATGGAGTTGCAGTCTCTCAGGGTGAACTTGAGCTCCACGTAGATCTTCCTTGCCGACTGCCGAGGGATCCAGTTCGTGCGAAGCCAGTTGTTCTGGCTGTACTCCATCACGTTGCAGACCTGGAAGGTCCTAATTGGAGTGTAGTGCTCATCCACCCCGCTGATTTCCTCCCACTGGAAAAGAGGAGAAGAAGGAGAGGTCGAAAGGAGAAACAGAGGGAGACAAGAAGGGATAAAAGAACAGTAAACAGAGAGGGAGAAAATAAATTTAAGGACTCACACATGAGACGTTGGGAATACAGAAAGTAATGATAAGTTTTCAAATATAAAGCAAACGAATGAGGATTTAAAGTCATGATGAAAATAGACAAAACAAAACCAATGAGATTCATAGAATGTTGAGGACGTGTAGGAATTTGGAATTGAAAAAACAGAGAAACAGGAGGGAAGATAAGAGGGATAGGAGGGACAAAATAAAGTTATCTCCACCTAGTAAGCATTCAAAGATCAATTATTTAGATCCAGATTCACTCTTGCTGAAWACTAAGCATCTAATAAACAATTAAAGGGTGAAAAATTACACTACTAGATTTTTTTTCTAAATTACTTTAATTAATTAAAAGCAAATTTGCTGTCATAGCCAAGTTTTCCCGATTAGAATGCTGTGAAAATATCTCCAAGAAAACCCATGAAGTCTGATTTCCCTTTTCAGATGGGAAATTGTGTGAAGCTGCTTAATTAATGTTAAATATTAGCAAACATCTCRTAGTGTTTCTTTTCCACCCTTTTACTAACACGATCTTTTATTCTCTCTAAAAGTGAGGACTTTCAAGCTGTAGTCTTGGTTATTTGCATCACAGTACTACTTCTACTGAAAGGAAACGTGCTGAATCCACTATGAAAAACAAACAAACGAACAAAAAAAAGGCTACGACGTATAGACAGATGTGAGTGTATACCAGGAACGTTCGTGTCTATCTTACATTTTCCCTCCACTGGGAGAAAGCAAAAAAGAGAGGAGAGGAGAAAAACAGAGTGGAGTCATTCCTTTTGAATTCAACACAGCGGGAAGGTTCATAGATCATGCTCTCAGTTTTGGAGTCCAGACAGGTCAACACTGATACACAGCAATGAGCAATGGGAAAATCACTTGAACAGTGGGCTCATTATGACAAAATGCATGTAAATGTGTAAATAGAGGCATTTTTATCTTTCTATTTATGTGATTTTAATAGAGAATGCTGGCCAGTTTAGTTTTAATCTGTCTCGTCTCTCACCCACGGCTTTGTCTATTAAAACATAAAATAATAATATGATCATTTAATAAAGTAAAGGAAGTGAAAAAAATAACAGAGATAGAAGGAAAAAAATGAGAGATTCCACTGGTGTTTTGTTTCTCTCCGTCACAATTTCTTTGGCATCGCCTCATTCATCAGAAAGCAGTCAAAGCTCCCTAAAGCCCCAACACTAACAAGGMAATGACTGGAGATTTCAGTAGAACTGAATGTAGAAAAGTGGGGCTAAGCCTAATATTTCACCTGACTGTACTCGCAGGTTTAATAGTTTGACTATAAATACTGGTCTAAAACGATGTGATGACAGGCAAAAAGTTCCGCCGACAGATTTTAATACAACAGAAACYAATGGGAGGACAAGATCTGCCACTGAGATTAGTGACTCTGCTGACATGGTATTTTATGGTTTTGTKTTKTTTWWTTTTTCTCTAAACTGGTTTTCAGCGTCAATATGTGTTGTGTTTGTGAAGTGGCACACAGAAAAAAAATGTATGTTTTTTTAACCATTTTCGTGATAATCTATGGATCTAGCAAACAAAGATGCTTTTTCAGTGGATGGCACTGCAGAGCCAATTTCACTTTACGTAATACGTCACATCCATTATTGTCAGTTTGAACTTGAAACTGTTTTGTTGTTTTTGTTGTTTTATATGTGCTTGAATTTCTGACCAGTTTATGTGGGTCAAAATCTCCAGAACAATTCCAGATATTGAATCAAAACAAATCATGTTTCACAAACTCTGAAAATACAGTCACAATGAGCTGCTGGCTTTCTGTTTGACAAGATGAGAATAAAAATTCTGAGACTGCCTCGACACATAGGTAAAAAAACCTTTCTGAAATTTAAATTTGGCTTCTGCTCCCACTGAAGTAATCACCTTTTTACTGCTGCCTCCAGTGGTTCTGCTATTGCTCTTGGATTGCTGTCTGAATTTCCAGTTCAGACTTGAGTGTTCGCTTTTGCAGTTTTATGATAGAACTCAAACATTTTCAGAGAGAAGACATCAAAATCGTGAGCTGAGCCTTCAGCCTCAACCTCAAGACTAAATAGAAGACTTCTACTGGTCAGGAGCGTGACCAAGAGCATGCATGTCATCTATTTTACTTTTTTATGTGGTTGTGCATTTTGAATCAGTTCCATAACTTTAGCAGCGTGCATTCTGCTTTTTTTTTCTTTCGTGTTGTACTACAAATCATAGCYAGCCATACTTGCCAATTTTGGCATTCTTTTGCCTTCTTTCTTTTCCTCAGGATGAAATTTCTTATAAAGAATTGCTGTTGCCACACAGTAAAGAAGTGCCAGATTAAGTCATAAATATTAWCCTGCACTTCAGCAAGGATTCTCTGCAAGACCAAAGTGATGGAAGCAGAATAAAGCTGCACAGAGAGAATATTTCACCAAAACATATTTCAAATAAATTACTTTTTACGAGTAAAATGTCAAATTTTGTTAATAAAATATCCTATTTTTTTTTTCGTTTCAAATCTTAAACAACATTATATTTAGCTGTTACATTAAATCAAGAAACATTTTTGTCAATGCTTTTGCATCACTTAGCTAGCAAATWGTGTACACGTGGATTTTTGTATGATAGAAATACATCATGCTTCCCTGTACATTTTTTTTGTTCAAGGAGTGAAATGCAAAGTGAACTGACATTAAATCAAATCCACTAAATGCTGTTCACTGTTGCTCTAAATCACCTTTAAATAAGTTTGAACTCTGCCAAAAATAAATAAAAAAAACACATACACTACACAAAGCTTAATCTGAATGTATTTATGCTTTATCCTTGTTCAGAAAATTTTATCATGGATCTTTTACAGTAAATATGGGAAATAAAAGTTATTTGTTTKTATGCAAAGTCAACATTGTCAGTTTGACGTTATTTGTTACTTTGGCAATTCTTCCACCAGCTTATGAAACTCCCTCTGGGAAAAATGCTAGGCTGTACATCAACTAGAATAAATAAAGGTAAATAAGTGAGCAGACTGCCCTTGTTTTTTCTCCAGGGTGGTGTAACTCCCCTCCCCTTGCACCCTAATTGATATATAACAACACAAAGACCCTACATTTGTGCTTCTGACCTCTGACCCTGACCTTTGATGGTCACAGCTGGCCCAGTGGTTGGAGTGATGTTGCCCCTGCTTTCTCTGATCTGTGCTGTAGGTGAAGCAGCTAAAGGAACAGTAAAATGAAATGTGGTAACCTGAGCTGCTCAAGACGTAGCTCTGGCAACAAGCATGTCTCAGAGACGCCGAGTCAGCAAGGTAACTCACCTCCTTCAAGGCTTTTCAGGTCAATGATTGTTAATAGACTATTCTACAGAACAGGATAAGGTGACAATGCACTTAGATGCAACTGACTGATCACCCATAACTAAAAAAAATTCCACCAGTCAATGATTTTATTCTTAAAAAAATATTAGTTTTCATTTTATGTCCTGGAAATATACTTGCTTTTACGTAATACAGTTTCTTCTTTGTGCCTCGCCTTGTTTCTGATGACCCAGCTAATTACACTGTTGAGTTTGAAACTGATTAAATGAAGGGGAGTTTTATTGTGGCTTAGGAATAAAAGACAGCTTGATGATGCCTTTGATGATGGTATGAACATCATCAAAGGGAATGTTCAGGCTCGAATGCATGATATACAAAGTTGCAGATTGTATGTCGCTAGCTTAGAAGCATAACGTGCTGTCCCAGATGGACAACCCTTTTGAGAGAATGTCCTAGATTTTAAATAAATCATAAATACTCATTAGCAGCAAACTAAGAATTTATGTTATACACTTATTCAAGTAGGTTACAGGTACATATTAATTCAATTTGCTTCATTAATATTAAAAAAGGCATCTAAATGCACTTTGCACATTTTCACTCTCCCCTCTTTCCATTYAATATATTTCAGTTTGTATTGCTAAGTATAAAGAATGTTTCAATCAAGAATGTCTGTCCCCAAAACTAATATGAATCATTTAAAGTACTTTAAAATTAAGGATTGGACAAGAAAAGGTTTCATCCAGTACTTACAATATGTGTAGTTTGTTCTACAGATACAGATGTGTTTTCTTGTAACAGACTGTGTTGGGAATATTTTTTGTACTCCTTCAGTGAAACTATCATCATCCGCATTCATGATGGATTATATAATGTTACTTGTGAAGATTATGAGTCCAACTCTGTCAGTAAAATGCTCTAATGTAGGCTTAGATGATTCTGCAAAAAATAGGTTACCTCACTATTCTGCTAGCTGTTATGATGCTTACACCGCTGACTGATAATGACTGCTTGTGCACAGTCGTCAGAAAACATTCCACACAAGGAAAGTGTTCTTTTGTAAGCAAAAATAAAGTCGCAGCGGTTCTGTCACCGCAGAAATTTTCCTCACTTGCTTTCATTTTTTTTTCCGTGCCATAACTGCGTCTTCTGCTCTGCTACTGTTTAGCCATCACKTCAGTGTATGTCAGCAGCATGCAATGTGACATGAAAGGGTGGGAGAGAAGAAGTGAGGTGTGCATTGACTGAAGAATCTGCTTAACACCTGGTCTGATTAAACAATCTGTACGCATTCTAACTCTGTATCAATACTTATGAAAGTTAGAGCACCATGACCATGATGTAGCATGTAGTCAGTTAGCAAATCATTTACCGCCATATATATCAGGGAAAATTATAGTTTGCACTCAGCTTTTAATTTCCTTCCTGTTATCACAACAATGCCGTATCACAGCTGCTGCACCACTTGTATTGCAATGTGTCTGATGCAATGTAAAATCATAGACAATAACAGATTGGAAGTTGACAGTGTCAATCAAAGAAAAAGATCCCGATCTGTGCTTTATTTTGATTGGTTTAATTGGCTCAGACATCCCTACCAATAACTACTTAAATCTTTTAGAGACAAACCTAAAACAGTAACCTGAAGATGCTGGAAACCCAGAAGTTATCTGACAGTGTCTGTATGTTTCAGTCTTTCTATGAAGTCCATAACCACCTAATCCTAGACATTCTAAATGGAAGCAAATGGTTTGTGTGAGAAAGATTCTCACAAGTGGAAAAATGCTACTGAGGCACATTGGAAGACCGCACAGGAAGGAAGACGAAGCAAAACGTAAGTAGTGGGAATTGAAGCGTTTTGTTTACTGCACGTCAGCTATGTTGGACAACTACTTATTTATCTGTGCTGCAGCAAAATGTTCCGACATGCTTCCTTGCTTCATGTTTCCTTTGTTTACACCCGGGACAAAGTCCTGACAACATGATGGACATCTGTCCTTTTAGATTCAGCTCCTCTGAATATTGTCTATTTCTAGTCTGACTTGCACATATAAAAAAAAAGAAAAGCCCCATGCATGTGTGGGATTTCTTCAGTTGCTCCGGTTTCCTCACAAAACCATGTTGTTAGATTCATTGGTAACTCTTTACTCACTTTGGGTGTGAGTCTGCAGATTCATGGTTTGTCCTATGTGTCTCCGTGTTGGCCCTGTGATAAATTGATGACCCGGGTGCACCCCAGACCTCTCCTGTTGACTACTGGAAAGGGCCCAGCCCCCCCACCCCCCCCAGCTCCCCTGAACAGGATTAAGCAAGTTCAGAAAATGAATGAAAGCAAAAGGGACATAAATAAAGATTTACAATACTGTTGCAATAGGCAAAGTTCCTGGCAAAGGCAGCTTTGTTGTATTCCCTGTTGCTGTGAAGAATGTACTTTCACTTTGTATGTGCCCATTAATTCTATTCTGCATGCAGAGCGGGCATCTGGGGTTTTGGTTTGTTGCTGCAGAATGCTTTCAAAGCATGCGAGAATGTAATCTTTAACAGTCTTTAGTGATGGGTTAAGCCCCCTGGACACTGCAAAGAAATCAGCCTGCCTCCCAGACAGATAACAGTATATCTGGATCAAACACACTCAAACACACAGACCCACACCCCATCAGTCCATTCGGTGGCTCCCGAGTGAACGTCCTGGGCAGGCTAAGCTCTTAATTTGTTCTGACTGGAGCATGTTGTGTCTCGGTAGGCCGATAGCCACAGCCTCTCCATCAGCGTGAATGTATGTGAATGCATGTGTGACAGAGACAAAGAAGGCTTGGTGCCATTGCCACACATTATGAGAAATCATTTGTGAGTAGCGGTCTCTCAGGGCATGCTGCTTATCGGAGCGCAGTCAGTGGATGACGTGAGTAATTACAGATGATTCACCTTGAGGACTTGATCATCAGCATCATCTATGTGTGTAGACTCTCACTCTTTCCTCTTCCTCTTTCTATCACCTTTCCTTACTCTCATCATCCTTGCACTTCATTGTTTTGATCATTCTCCCATCTCTTCCTCTCTGGAGTCAATCTTATTTAGGAATGTCACTGGCTCTCATCCTTGCAGCACATTAGGAACTGAATGACCACAGACTTTGGATAACCTCATACTGGTTCAAAGAGGAAAACTTGAAATAAGACAGACATCTCTGCAAACTGCATAAACTCCATCACATTCCAATGTCCAGTGCTGCATCAAGCACCCGTATACAGTATGTGAAGATTTTCTTAGAGCCTTACGTGAAAAAAAAAGGTCACTTTGCGCAGCATCAATCTCATCTATCAATTGGTCACAAGATTGTGATTGTGAAGTCTCCTCTAATTTAAACAAATACATGAAAAATTTGCCAGACGTTTTTTCATTACATCATTTTTTTTCTTCAAGGTTCAGCCTCATGAAGAAAAAAAAACTGCATGCTCTCATGGTGCCAGCGCTGTATATGGCCGAGGGAAACAAGATTTGGCAGCCCAATGGAACAAATGACTGGATTACCTTAAGCCACTGCCAAGGCGTAATTCTAACACTTAATAAACGAAAAAGAGGGAATTGTGTTTGTGTGGCAGTGAGTTTGTGTGTGCGTGAGAGTAAGAAAGGGAAAGACGGGGGGGGGATGACAGCGGGCCAGCCCAGAGGCACAGCAGTCTAACTAGTTAGACAAATAAACACTGAACAAGAGCCCACCAAAGGGTTTTGGTAGGAAAGAGAGACTCATACATGAAAGAGACTGCAGTTTTTTTTTTCTTTCCAAAATGAAGAATATTCCTGCATAGTTTTTGGTTTGAGTCATGCAATCTTATATTTATATATATATGTATGTAAAAAGAAAAAATTAAAAGGGGAAATAGAATTTTGAGAAATACATTTAAAATTTCAAGTATTTTTCAAACTTCAAAATGACCAAGCCTGTTTGACGAACATACTTTTTCTTGATTTATGTAGCAGTTAGAATGTTAC